CAAAGATAATAATCCTGTAAAAAATGTTAACGTAGTTGGTAGCAAGACCATGGTCATTGAAAATGCTAAAGTATCGGACAGTGGATCTTATCACTGCACTGCTGAAAATTACATAACTGCTCAGTCATATCGGAGTAACCATAAGACGATCCTAAACGTAAACACAAATACCAGTCTTCGAGCACCATACTTTGTTAAACAACCACAAACGGAGTACAAGGTTTTGAGGGGTAAAAACGTAACTTTGGAATGCTTTGCCGCTGGTTACCCAATCCCTTCTGTCACGTGGACTAGATTAGGTAGTTCGTTACCAGTGAACTCCATTAAAACTGCGATGGGCCTAACGATAATTAACGTTCAATCAGCGGACAGGGGAGAATATGATTGTATATGGAGTAGTCATGGAGTAAGCATCAAGTCTGTGATCATACTAAAAGTTATGGAAGCTCCAAAGGTGATTAAGCCACCGAAGGCAGCAACGTTCTCCGAAGGTGGAGAATTGGACCTCTCTTGCACGGTAACGGGCGAACCACAACCGAAATTTGAGTGGCTAATTAATGGGGAATCTTTGACGCCTGGTGGTAATGTGGAGATCGAAGGTTCGAGTCTTTCTATCTCCGAGGTTGAAAAAAAGCACGCTGGAATTGTCCAGTGTGTCGCGAGTAACGAATATGGGTCTCATTCTGGTTGCAATCTGCTAAGAGTGAACCCTAAGCAACATATTGGGACGACTGAAGCCAAACAGGATTATGGAATCTCTAATTCAAGACACAAACATACAAGGGGAGGAGGAAGAAGAAGGAGTAAGGAAGGGAAGCGTAAAGGCACTGGTAATTTGTTGCACCGTACATATTGCTTAAATACTTCATGTTGATTTTACCGGGTTTTTTATATTTGTAGCTGTGCTAGTACCACCGAATCTACCGAATGTCACCAGACTCTCAGACGTGTCCGTGATGGTTAGATGGTCTGTACCTGAGAACACAGGACTGCCGATTCAATTCTTCAAAGTTCAATATCGCGAACTTGGACAGAAGATGAATGGCAGACAAGCAAAATGGATGACCGCGAACTCGGAGATACCGAATCACGTGCGGTCGTTCGAAGTAACCGATTTACAACCTAATCATACTTATCGGTTTCGAATTGCTGCAGTTTATTCGAACAATGATAATAAACTTAGTCCAAACTCCGTACGTTTTCATCTGAATAAAGATGGCGGAATCGAAAGCAATAGGATGCCAATACCTTTGTTAACGAACACCGAGGCTTTGAGTCCACACGAGGTATTACTCATTTGGCAGAATTCGGATAATTCGGCGAACATCGATGGTTTCTATGTGTATCACCGAGCTTCTACCACAGTTAGCGATTATATAAAAACTACGGTTGAAGGAAAAGACTCTTTCAACATAACTATTTCCCATTTGCAACCGGATACAACGTATGAGTTTAAAGTTCAGAGTTTTTCCGTAGACGCAGCTTCGGAATTTTCTAAGATCCTTCGACAAAAGACGAAAAGAGCTATAAATACGAACGAACATGCTAATCATGATAATAAAAATGATCATGGCAGCAATTTAACATTGGATAGCCGAGTAAGGCCTGCAGATGATAAAAACGTAAATATGTATGCCATAATTGGCGGAGTTCTCGGAGGATCGACTCTATTGGGCAGCTTGATTGCAGTCGCAGTAATATATAAGAGGACGAAGCACAAACAAAGCCGGGAATCATCGCAAAGCGAAGGTAAATTTAATTTGTAATATCATCGTATTTTAGAAAAAGACAGTGTACGCCTTATAATAGATTATACATTAAATTTTTATTTTAGGAAAACCGATAACAAACGGAAGAGTAATGAATGGCGGAGTAACTGACTCGAAAATAAACATAACATCAAATCCACTTGCTGGTCTCGATACATCTGAAGATATAATACAGCCTAAGGTCGGTATTTGTAAGTAACGATATCAATATTTTCGCCTTGTCAAAGGAAAAGAATGACTGAGGGCTATTTCGATTTGAGAAATGGACAAAGATGTCATACCAATATTTTCTATTTCTGAATTAAATATCAATTGTCTACGGTCATTCAATTTCCTAATTCTACTAAACGAACAGAAATATGATCTTAACTGCGTACATAGTTATCTCTATACGCCTTGTCGATATTTTTATCGCAACTACTCGTACTGTCGTGTGTGTGTTCTGTCGGCTTGTAACTCTGAGGAGCTCGATCCTAAAGTAGTCAAAAATGAAAAAAAAGGGATCTATATTATTTTTTTAATTTAAATTATATCGTTGATATTTTTACAAGATAATTCCAATGTAGGAAGTAAACAAATCACACCCTAATGGTACGCAATAAAATCTAATCATATAGTGTCTATATACATAAATGCTTCACTGCCACTAGAGGAGACTTCATATTTAACTTTCCATTAATGCTTTTATTTTTCTGCACACTCGATAGATTGACACATAAGACCCTGGGCGCTAAATCACTATGTCCATCCATATCCTCAATGTCATTGCACGAACATAGCACATTGATTCGATCATTATTACCATCAAGCCTGATTAAGTCCCATTTCGATGGCATATACTCGATAATCGAGTCGAATCACGGGCTCCACTGGGTTACAGCTGTACGCCACTTTTTCTTTTTTAATTTTTCTTTTTTTTTTTTTACAAGCGACTACCATTTATTCTCCTCCCTCCGCACTCTCGCGCGCGACTGTATCTATATTTACATTCAACTAACGTATTTCTGCTTTCAGACTATTCGATATTAAGAAGACTAGTCTTTTCTAGCTTTAGCAATTGGTCGCGTGCTGTTCTTTAAAATTCTACTTGCACACTCTCTGCATTCTCTCTGGAAGCCGCTTTTCTTTCGTATTTTCCGAACACCACACACATACGTTATATATTACCTACATGCCTGTGCCTCTCTGTGAGTGAGATCTGAAAGAAGCGAAACGAACACGCATGTTTCTAAACAGACCGGGCAACAGTCGCCGATGGAAATGGCATCGTTTCTTAACGGACAAAACAACAGCAACAACAACCATAACAACAGTGACACAGCTGGGACTGACCAGTGAAACGCATCAATAGACTGAGAGTCCCTTCTGCTCCAGGAATCACTGCCTATCGAACAGTCTCTCTGCGACCAACCATTTTCCTCTATGCTTTAAAAAGACTTTTATAGTGCTCAGACCGTATTTCCAGATGTCAATTTTATCAAACTTTTATCAACTACGTTGTGACGGGGATATGCGAAGAAAACGATATACGAATGTTGTCGCTTCCAATGATGCTTCTTTTAATAGTGAGAAACTTTAGAAACTTTAGTCATTCATTAGGTTTACAATGAGTGAACCGTTTTAAGACATTTACAGGGTGTCATAATAGGTATGCTCAAGTGTTTCAATCAAGATTGTTAGATATGTATTCATTTAACGATCGTATCCTATGTAATCAGTTTTAGGTTTCCTTCTTTTCTCTTTGACGGTAAACTGCAACTTTTTTCAAGCTCAAAATAGAATTAGAAATTCACGATTGATCATGAAGTGGGTAAAATATGCAAAGTACCTGTCCGCTGTCTTCTTCGACCTCTTCGTTCTTTTATCTCTTTGTTGCTCTCTTATATCTTTGTCTCCTTTTGTATCCACTTGATGGTCGACAATTAGCGAGTTTCATTTGTAATTAGACACACAAGAACGAAAAATTTATGAGCTCGTAATTTAAACTATATTCGTTTTTGTAACATTTAGCTTTTACCGTATACTCGCCTAATTTTATACTAATTTTAATCCAGGCAGCTTTTACGAGTTATGTTTGTTTCCTCGTTTAAATTAATTAGCGTCCATTATTTTATGTTGTAAATACGCGAAATATTAGTGATTATATCGAATTTAGAGGCGAATGATTTTGTGCCTGATGAAAAAGACAGCTGTGCTATGTATTTTATATAATACTACATGTTTTAGGAAATATTATCGGTGATGCTGGAATTTTCTTTGGAAATTCTTGAATCGCGATAGAATGGAACTTTGTTCAAATTTTTTCTCTTTTTTTTAATGATCATTGTATCGTTATCTTATATATTATGATTATTCATACATTATCGTCGTTGATACTGGTAAAATAATGACTTTAACGGAATAATTTTTACGTTAGAGAGCGAACAAACCTCATACGAATTGCTACTAGAATAATAGAAATAATTCAGTCACACATTGCTAACAGTATTTGTTACGTAATATCAAGAACTTCTAATAACAGTATTTTCCTAGCTTCGAGTTAGATGCAATTTCTTTTAGTGACCGATATTAGATTCCAGACGGTAATCAAGCTTTACGATAAATCATGCGTTAAAAAGAATCCGAGAATTATATTTAAACATGCTAGAATTTTTAGTCAAAATTTCGATATCAAAAAAAGGAAACAAAAATGTGTAAATAAGTATTTATACAATTTTTTCGATTTTACGTCGTTCTATATATAACATATCTTTTAATGTAGTGTTAATTATTTAAATTGTCTATTTTAAAAGAAAACGAAGTCAGAAGATCAGTTTGCAAGCGGAACAAGAACAAATTTTTGTACATATATACTAAAATGAGTCAAATTTTATGAAGGAGCATATTGTGCCTTAAATCTTGCCTATACAAACTAGTATTAAGACTAATTATTTATGTATCTATGTATGCATATCGACATTTTGTGTACTTAATTTTTTTTTAATAAATATGCTGAAAAAAAGGTTCGACTTCATGTTGAATGTTATACGTTAAAGAACTTTAAATTTGAATTTTAGTGATATTTCTAGTAAATTATTCCTAACGTATAATTCAAATATGGAATTCAATCCGACATAACCTATAACTGATACACATGCATGATAACACATACGAGTAACAATCATAAAATTAAATGTTTTTTATTTTTATTGAAAAATTGAACGAACCTATATAATGGATACGAATGTTAGTATGACTGTAGAAAGTGCTATAGAAATGTTCACATCTATCATGTGTTCTTTAAACGAAATTGGTAAACAAACATTTTTATCGTTCATTGCTGATAATTGGAAACCACAGAATGTAAAGATAGAATCTCTTTCAAAGAATGCATATGGCATGGCAGGTGATTGTCACAACAAACGTAGTTCACAGGAAGAAAAGTTAAACACTATAAAAGATATTGTCCTCAATATCAGAAATAAAGTACCAACAAGTGGAATATTTCCATCAGAGGAAATTGTATCACCAACGATTGGACAGGTCTGCTATTTTCTAAATAAGTAAAACTATATATTAATTTTTCAACCTATATGTTACAAAAGAAAGATATCGTAAGTTTTATAACTCTGCAGAACTCAGACTGTGATCCTTGTTCAACAAAACATGTTGATGCATTTCTTTATGATGAAAAAGAAGTAGATGAACTTATAGAAAGTGGGGAGCTGAATACTTTGTATTGTGCTGACTGTGGGTCCAGCAATATGAAACAATACAGTAAGAAACACTCAACATTTTTCTTGGATTATGTGATTTCCTTAAATCATATTTTATGAAAACAAAATGTATTTGTTTTTAGATATCATTTCACACTCCTTATCAGTGGCTGCTATATTGTATATATTTCACAGTGTTTTACCAAGTTTAAGTGAAAAAGTTGTACTTGACATAGGATCCCGATTGGGTGCTGTTTTATATGGAGTAATGATTTTTCTTCTTTTCTAAATAACAGTTCAATAATTAAAAGATGTATGTTATTATTTAAAAATCTGTCCTTCAGGCATATACATTCACATCTGCCAAGAAGATTATTGGTGTTGAAATGAACAAAGAACTTTGCTCACTCCAAAATGACATAGTAAATAAATATAAAATGAATGATCGTATTGAGATTGTGAACAGGAGGATTGAGGAATGTCCTGAAATCATTCAGAAGAGTAATATTATCATTATACACAACCCATTTGAATTTTATGTTTCACACTCAGTACATAGAGACATTTGGGCTTTTTTAAAAGCCACTATCCAAAGTGGAACAATTCTAGTTACCAAACCATCCATTGAAACTACTTTTAAAAATCTAAAAATTAAAGAAGTAAATAAATGGGTAAAGCCTTATGAACGAGAGAAGACTATATCAGAACCTTACATATTTGCATCATTATTTTTGGACCCTACTGAATATGCAGATATTAAATTCTATGAAGTCATTTAAATTTAAGGAAACTATTAAAATCGAAAAATAATGACTGAAAATTTATATAAAGCATGATACATAATCTGATTTCGCAATCTATTAAAAAGAAGTTTGTTTAATTTCTTGATTTGTTTTGCATAAAGAGTTAATAAAAGTTGAATTTGTTAATCGTAAATTTCATAATCTTTTCGTTTTTTGCGAGATTAGAGGAAGGAAAATAAATCGTTTAGGAATCGTACGAAAGTTAACGATTTACGATATAGATGCAATCGCGACAATAACTCTTGCGTCAATTGTAGGTGGAAAGCTTCCCTTCTAGGAGATTGATTTCAATGCAATGGATCCCCTCCTTTTACACAGGAACTCGAGTATAGGTGGTCTCCGCGGTATGGTCAAGTTCAAATCTCGAGTTCAGTCGGCCATCAGCTACGATTGACGTACAATCATTGCATACATGGCTTTTCTCAATTATTACAATCAGAAATTATTATCCGTGGATAGCGAACAACAATGAACATAAAGAATGTTTGGTCAAATTTTTCAGACTTTAGTTTAAAAGTTAGGTTGTTTCGTGACGTAAACGTGTCCAAAATTAAATACAATAAATTTCCTTTTTTGTTTTCTTGTAAAAAAAACTCTTTGTTGCATTTACAAATTTTTTATAATAATTGTTTATAAAATTATTTTATATTACCAATCTGGAATAAAATGCAGAACACGACATCAATATGGACAGGTAAGAATTGTACAGTGAAATAAAAAATTTAGAATGATAAATATCTCTCTCTATTCTACGCATGTTTGTAACAATATGCATTTTGCATGAATATTTTCTAATAATTCTTATTGTCACTCCATTGTTAGAGTAAAACATTTTCGATTCAATAGTAAATTCCTCAAATTGTTTCCTAAATATTATTCATCTGGAAATTAATGCGGGCACATGATATATGTTATTACCTATTTAGGACGTACGAGTCATTAGCCTTGGACCGACACTGACCTGATTTCGTCACAAATATGAGCCCGGCTAGTAGGCTTGGCTATAACCTTCCATCAGTCGTGTCATCTTCGACTTCCTAAATAGAAATTATGCAATTTCTTCCTACATTATCGACTTTTCCTTTGTCCCAATAAAATATGAATATCAAACAAAAATTATTAAAACGACATCCCCTTCTTTCAGTAATGACATGCATCGAAAACGATGTTTACAAATATATTCTCTATCTCTCTATTTATTAAACACCATCCGTCCTAATACAATGTCAAATCGATGAACATGAATTAAGAAAAACAAACTGGGAAAATATTACTCGATACTCTTAAACTTGATATTTTTCCAGACCTTGTAATTATGTTTACGTATTTTACATCTCGTTTCCTCTGATGGAGAAAAAAAAAATAATACCGAGGATCCTGTGTCGTAATCTTATCTTCCCCTGGACATACTGCCGCCTGTGTGTAATTAGCGGGCACTCCCGACCGATAGAAAACTACGCGTGGGCGATATTAAAAAAACAAGACAGAGACAATAGAAAAGAGAAAAAATGTACATTATATTACGCTCGTTGCAGTGTGCACGGTTATTTCGCACAATGAACAAGAGAGTCGAACGAAACGGTCGCAGCACAGATAGGCTCAAGTGGCCAAGGGGCACTTGAACTGACGAGATAATGGACCGTTTGTCGAGAAAGAGAAAGAATCAAACGATACCGAGCGGTACGCGCGACGGTTGCTGCAACCGCGATCATTCAATCGCACTTTCTTGTTTCTTTGCTTCCAATGACGCACTTATGACGTCAATCGGAGAAGCAAGAAGCAACCCTGGCATACCTTCCACGCATCTTTCCCTCCGCATTTCTTCGACCCGGATATACGATCCTTGACTCATCTTTTTCAGCAATTCTTCGTTTTCCAAAAAATCACTTTCACATAGAAACAAATATATCATTGATGTTTTGGCCCCTTTTTGGAAAATTTCGAATTTATTTTGATATTTGAACATTCATCATAGAAAACTTGTATGTATATATTGTATCTGTTCTAGATTACAAAATTATTTAAACAGTCGTTTATGTATTAATAAACGATGACATTCAACAAGATTGTCTTTAATACTTGTTATATAGTTTAAGACAATTTTTTTATTAAATGTTGCAATAAATACATTTTCAGATTAATTTCAAATTTCAAGATGTTCTATATAATACATGTAATATATACATAACTGTTTTCCATACAAGTATACAAATAGTAATACACATGTATTTATAATATCGTCACTCTTTTGTGGCTCTGTATGGCTCATAATATGTATATGTACATAGTATATCAAAATAGAATCACAGTTACCGTCCCATATGGGGAATAGCACTATGTGTAACTATAATTCCAAGATTAGATAAGAGCTTGTAGTGACAGTGTTAGTATAACAAAAATTTATGTCGTTTGTAATATACTGTCATAAAGGTGGTTTATAGCGATATTTCTTCATGGACGCCGATGTGTAGGATGAAATGATACCCATTGAATAAATAATTCAAATGCCATCTTTCATATTTGAAAATCTATTGAATTCTTTCATGAATTTATGAGATTGTTTTTCCGTTAATCCATTAAGGATCAATTTCATAACAAATTTAAGTGGAAGACACAGAATCAGGAATAGAAATATGAATTGAAATAGGAATAGAAATAGAAATATTTCATAACTAGAACGTTAAAAAATAAAAGACGACGAGGTAAATTGATTAAAAAAAAAAAATTACGAATAAAATATTACCACAATATTGGGCTTTAATGTGTTATTATCTTTAACGATTGAATTATCATACTTTACAAACACTCACCATTTAAATTGTGGATGTTTATGCGTTTTTAGGAAATTTAAAATTCAAAAGATCTATAGAACACATATAATATGCAAAAATATATTCAATGTAGAGCACTTATTGTGATTTGTGATATTGTGTATCTACTTAAATTCCAATCCTTTGATTAAGCTCATAAAAATATGAAATTGCATGAATATGTGCAGTCTAGGTCATCATAAGAATTCAGATCGTTCCATGAATTTCCCTGCATTCCAATTTCGAATCATATGTTCTCTCATTCATGTTCTAGTCAGGCGATCTCGTCGAACGATGTCGTCATCGCAGGCCGATTGCGAAGCAGCATCGGGAGCAATTTGATAAATCATCCACCAAAGAAAAGGGTGAATTTTCCGAAGATCATGAACTTAACCTACATATCGAACATCGACGAAGATCAAATCTTCTCAATTCATAATGATCTACTTAAAAATGGAAAAAAAAGTGAAAGGAAGAATGAAAAGAAAGACAATTCGGAAGATCATAACAGGAGTTCTTTTAAATCGAATTGCAGACGATTATTCAAACCGGGTCAGTTGATCAAGCTACGTTTCCCATCTATCTCTCACGTGGTTCACGGAAACGAACATGGCGACCTCTACTATCGTCGGCGCCGTGGCCGCGATTGGTTTAGAATCAGTGCGCGATGCGTCTCCTGTATTTCAAATCGAACATCAAGCAACCGAGAGCCTTTGAGACAATGCACGTATCCTCGGCGAAGTAGTCGATGTGAGGTTCAATCTTCCTTAACTCCTGAAGCGACACAATTAAAACAGCTGCTACGAGGACGAGACTACACCGAAGCGAAGAACAAGGTATATTCCTATATAGCAAAGCCACGTTTCACCAAATACATACAACATATACATACAGGGTGGCCCGTAATTCATGGTACAAATGGCGTCAGGTAGATTCTATGGTGCAAAATAAAATGAAAATCAAGGATAAGGAAATTGTTTTGACGGCTTTGTTTTCGAGAAAATTGAAATTAAAAGTTTGTTTGGTATATGTGAAGTTGACCAATTTCCGGCTAGACAGGAATAAACAAATGACAGAAGGTTATTCTGCATATGCAAATAAAAATGAAAATATACAGTAAAATTTTGTCATTTAATGCTTCTTCTTGAAGAAAGTAGAATTGGAAAGTGTTAGTCAAGAATTAAGACGGTATTTGTGTTAAGGGAAATTTTCAAATTTGATTTGCAATTTTAATTTTATTATTTTTGATTTTAAGCTATAGAATCCCACTGACCCAATTTATACCATGAATTACGGACCGTCCTGTATATTATACAGGGTGTCCCAGTATTCATGGCACAATCGGCAAGGAGATGAATAAGTAACTCGAACATATAGAATACAATTTGTTCATATGATAGTTCGTTTTGGAGTAAATTGAGTTTGAAAATTTGTCATTATACTTGAATTTAATTAATTTCGAGCTGGACAGAACTAAATAAGCGGCAGGAGGTTATTCTAGGTGTGAAAATTAATCGAAAATGTAGAATAAAATTTATCTACAGGACGCTCAGTTCTCGAGAAAACAAAATTTGAAAGTTTATCAAGAACGTAGTGTCTCAGGCTAATCCTTAACTAAACACGTTCAAACACTATCTTCTTGGAAATGAGATCTTAAACATAACAGCTTTATTCTACATTTTTCGCTTATTTTCGCATGTACAATCATTTCTTGTCGATCCTGTTTCCTCACGTTCATTCGGTAATTCGCCAAATTCGCTTATACTAAACAACTTTTCAAATTTAATTTTATTAAAGACGAAGCGTGGTATGAACAAATGTTATTCTATATTTTCGATGTGCTTTTCATATATGATTCCTGAGACAACTTATATATCAATTGATTCGTTTAAAGAAGTAAACCATAGAAACCAAAATTATTTCGCCGTAATAATCTTCGTATTGTATACACTCGAGTTACTTTGTTAACTAATTTTTTACATTTTCAGATTGGTTCCAAATTTTACCAACATAATCATAGTTGTCGTTCGTAGTAATCATTGTAGAGCCAATGAAATATCAAAATATCTTAAATTTGAATTAAATTAAAATAAATCTAATTTATATTCTTGATAACAACTTTCCGCAAAATAATTTTGTTTCCATAATCTACGCGCATTAAAATGAATCAATCGATATATAATATATTGTGTTTTATTAAACGTGGCTTTTCTAGGAATATTCCGATATATCAATTATGTACATACACATATATAATATATACGTATATGTATATATTTATTTACTTTGTCAGGGATGTTCGAAGAATAATTTCCTCAGCGGTGAGAAATCGGAAGTGGAGCGTCGATCTTCGAAGCAGAACGTGGATTTATCGTCCTCGAACGCGGTACAGACGTCGCGAAAACGACGCGTAGGCATCGTGGAGAATCAGTACGTCGCCGAGAGTGACGCCGGCTCGTCGGTATGCGACTTGGTTCAAAGCTTGGAACGAGTGCTCGGTGAGAAGAACAAGGGGGTCACGATGAAGTCAAAGAAGCAACAGAACGCCCTGGAGGGTATCGTCGACCCTATAGAAGAGAATGAAACCTATGACGAGTTCGACACGGTGAGAATGCCAGTTGTTAGATCCCTGAGCAAGAGTCCACAGAGCGACGAAGGTATTGAAACGGACACGGATCGAAGAAGAGGATCGATGGCCCGATGC